TAATCAACTGCGATGACTCCGTTCCCAACCTCCATTACCCAATATGTCTCGTTCTGCATCCTTAATGGTATTGGAGTTACCTTTATTACTATGTACTGCGCGACTTCTGCTATTATAAAGTATCCTGATATATGAATTTGATTAGTGTCTTGCTTGATGGTCATCTTCCTTATTGGATGTGCTAATATTTCCACGTCCGATGGTAGTTTTTTAGATGCTGTTGCTATAAGTTCTTTCACATGTGCCTCTGTTATTACATTATTAAAGTTTCCTCGACCTCGACTTATGTCTAATAGTCTAGAGTAATAAGCATATACTTCGTTGATGAGGTTGCTTGCTATCTGATAGGTGCTGAGTATGTGTATGTCCATCTGATTTTCATCTATGGTTTTGTACCATTTTTCCATTTTGATGATTGCCTCTAGGCCTCTGTTTAGCTTCTTCCTGAAGTTCTCGAGTTGTTGATCAATTCTGGTTTCGGTGTGGTTAAACGTTGAAAGTGCTGACAGCATGAACTTTGTTTGACGGTCGGTTATCTTCATTAGCTCCTGCTGATTTTTGTTGAGTGCGTTTATATCTTTGTACACTTCATCGTTTACTCCAAAAATTGACGTTAATAAGTTTCCTAATATTCCTCTTCTTTGCCTGGTGCGCATGATCCCATGTATTCCTGTTTGTAACCACTCAATTTGCTTGCCCAATTCATCGATGTGATGTGATAATTCTTGGCAGTGTATGTTGTCTGATAGTGCCGTGGCTTTCGTACATAATTCCTTGAACTGTTTTGTGGTGTTAATGGCGTTCCGTAAGTCCTCTTCCATGGCGTTCTTGTTGAATTTTAGGTCAATTCGAAATATGCCTCTTTCGATTCTTGCGTGCCCTATACTACATAAAGGCCAGGCTGTGGGTGCACCATTGTAAACTTTGCTGATGCTATCGTTAACCATGTTAGGAATCCCAATGCCACTTGAAGAACTTGAGACGGTATTGGTTTCCTCCTTGCTCGGCCGTCTTCTTCTTCCCGCCGCCTTGCTGGATTTGAATGGATTGTTATTAGCTGCTGTATACTTCTTCTACTGCTCTTTCCTTCTTGTTTGCGGATCTTTACTACCTGTACCTTCCCATCTTTTGCGGGATGTACTTCTGTTACCCTTGTCTTTGATGTGAGTAATGTTACTTCTCCATCCTTTGGTCTGGTGTATACTGCAGCTCCATACGCTTTTTTGGAAGCATCGCAGAATCCATAGGTCGCTGGTTCAATCCGGCTCGAAGGACCATGTTTAATCTCGGTATGAGATTAAGATAGTTTTGGGGTAGACTGTAAGGCGGCACCCGTCACTGTGCCAAATTATAGACTCGGAACCTTACACCCCAAATGAGTAAGAACAGCCTAAGCTATAATACTGGTTTATTCATAAAATTTACACGTTTATATACAAAATTGTTGTCCTAGTTCTACCATTTGTTTACCTAGGTCAGCGACACTATTATTCTATTATTTGCATTTTCATGCCTTACTCAATTGACCTGCTTTATATCTATGCATAATAATGATGTCTTAATACCTACTTATTACATGAATTAGAATTACTTAATTAATATTGTTTAATTCTAGATTAATCCCAAATTAATCTGTGATTGAACAGTTACTATTTAAAATACAATGAGATACAATCCTAGATCTCACCTTTATAAACATCATAATCACTGAATTTTAGCAATATTACATTTCCTTTAAGAATAAACAGGCATGGCGCGAAACACTTTTAAAATAGGGTTTTTGCGCTGGTATATAAGCCTCTTAATGCTTGCTTTACAGAAACTCTCCACTTTTTCCGTATTCTGATAGTCATATTTATTCTATTAAAAAAGTAGGGAAAATGTCTGCTCAAGTAGATACTATCGTATTGAATAGATTACTTGAACCTATAGATCTCTACTTGAAGGATTCGTGTTAAAAATTAAAGGATCATCTCAACAAAACCGTCAATCGTCGCCCTAGGTACCAAGAGGCAGGAATTTCGTAGAATCTTTGCCTTGTCGTCGCACCCTTGACTTAAACACAAACACCGACCTAACCAAGTAGGTATCTACAAAAAAAAAACCATAGACATAATAACTGTAATTAGCCCACTAATCTACCACATCTTCAGTCTGCTTGTAATTTCGCCAAATTTTCAGCAGCTGTCTACTACTTATATAGCAAAATTGTCTAATTGCGCACTTCGGCCCTGAACTGTAAATTAGGGACGTCGACGACCTACTAATTCTATAGACATTGGGTCGGCTGGCAAGCTGCTATATGTCAAGTGCTATTCAAACAAATTCGACCGGAAAGCTGTAAAAGCATGAGGTCCGTCGGTCTTCTGAATTGATGGATGACTCACCGCCATTGCAGATTAATCTTGTAAAAGGGATGAAGGTCTATTACTATTTTTCTTTGTCCCATTGCCCACGTCGTTGCTGTCATTACCGTTAGCTAATCCAATTTGTAACAAGCGATCGGTTCGTAATTAAAAGTTTCCAAGTAAATCATGCGTACCTAAAGGGAGATAAAATTTCGATTATCAAGCGTTTCTGCTCGTTATTTCTGTTGAGACGCCCACTCGGCATTGCTGCAGTTAAAAAATGTAGCGCATCTCTTGCAGCTTGCACAGCTTAAATTTAGAAGTTATTTTAAAAATAGTTGCAGGGTTAGTTACCTACATTTTTCAAGAGCATTTTGTTGTGTAGACTGCTCTGTATAATTTCTACCAATCAATCTTTATTGGACGCCAGCTTGGAAAAACTTTTTACAAATAAAACAATAACTTCTTTTCTTTAAAACCTACGTCATCTTCTCTTCTCACCTTCTCCCGGCTCATCCAGCACCCCACTTCTGCTGCTCCCTGTCATTTCCACCTCCGTATCCATACTGTTGATGGTATTAAATTGAATAAGAACTGCTATTAAACATCAATATGAACAACGTTTTTTATTGTATCGGTTTCTAATAACAAACTCTATAGTATATTAAGTATGGAGAACGGTAAGGGATTTTTACCGTTCGAAGACAATTGTTTGGAGGAGGAGCGAAGCGACGACTCCAATTATTGTCTGAGAACGGTAACCCTTAACGTTCGACGTGCTTATAACATTTTTTGCGCGATCGAAATTAAAATTATGCAACCAATATAAATATGCACTAAGAAATTAACGAGCAGAATAAATCGAAATGATCGAAGTGGTATGGTGTATACATCACTAGGTAACCAGTTTATTTGTCAAAATTGAAGTTAATAATTTCATAAAAATGTGCATGTGTCTGATGTAGTTTACTAGCTTTGCACTTCCTTTATGACTTTATGAGCGTCTTGCTATAGGAAACAACAGCACAAATTGTACGTTTAATGTACCTAACAATAATTAAAGATTAAATGTAATGTAAGACTGTTGATTTTTAAAAAGGCGTCGGTAAGTATTTATTTTCTATTTCGATGTGGAAACAATACCGAAACCGTACTTGATTGGCCCAGTTTGCGTGCGTTTCTAGACAGAAATGATGCCGAAAGAAATAGAAACGCATTATTTTTTTTATTTTGTTGGATTGGTACCCCTTGCTTTTTTGCTGTCAACGGTATCCGTCAAATCAAAACTAAACATAACCTGTAAAGTGTAAATAACGTACGAGGAACTTGACCGATTGTATTAATTCCGATTAATTTTGAATATATACTCCAAAGGGTAGAACTTTTTTTTATTTTTACTTAGCGTAGTAAAATATGCCAGCAGTACATTCTAGCTTACTTTTTGAACTCCCCTTCTCGGTGAGCCAGTTTTCAAAAATTTTGTACTCCTCGTACTTTACTTTCGATTTTACAGGCAGTAAATTTAACGTCGCTTCATTGGCAATCTCTTGGATCTCCGATGGGGTACAAGAGACGTGTTTGTCATCCGTATTCATCGTAACTGCCGCAAAATGGAATTATGACCAAATACCTAATTAAAAGTTTGAAGTTTGAAAATACAGGAATCAGGTTAGCCAACGTGAAAATAAATGAATTGTGTCTATTACCAACATACACTGAATGATAGTTTAAAATTACCTAACAACGCCTAAAGGCAATATTTATAATTTGTATAATTTATTATTTAAAATAAAAGTCGAAATAGAAAAAATAGTATAAAGCACACGTGTCATTTGTCTACTTGTCGCACTCGGCTTTTGCCGCATTCGCCGCTACGCGGCTTATGCGGCAAACTGCCTCGTGCGACAATCTTCGTCAAATGACACTTGTACTTTAATATACTATTGCTGTTCTGTTTTTAGATCGGTAAGTAATTTTGACGTCGTCGTAATCATAGCAACTGGTAAATTCTACCTACTGTCATGGAAACACCCATGGTAAATAGTCAGAAATGACCGATCGCGCAAAAAATTATTTATATAGCAACAAACTACTACCTTAGATCAAACATAAATGAATTATTTAGTTTAAAGATTTTAGTACAACACTTCCCCTCAAACTTTAAACTTTCATTTATGTTACATTGAAAACATCCCCAATTTTTCTCTAAGATGTTGAAATTGAATTTTTGGAATTGGCTTAGTTAAAATATCCGCAACTTGATCTTCACTTGCAACATGCACTATGTTCATCTCCTTATTTTGAACTCGTTCCCGTACAAAATGCGCCCGCACATCAATATGTTGCGATCTCTTGTGGAAACTTGGGTTTCGAGCGAGTTTTATTGCGCTTATGCTATCTACACGAAGCGTTGGTACTTTTTCTAATGGTGCAATTTCCCCAAAAAGACGATTTAACCATACAATGTCTTTAGCTGCTCGCTGGCAGCCACATATTCCGCCTCTGTGGTAGATAGGGAAACACTTTTCTGCTTCCTGCTTGCCCAGACGATAGCACCTCCACAAAATTTAAAAACCAGACCGCTGACAGACCGTCTTGTATGAGGTCACTTGCAAAATCTGCGTCGCTGTATGACTCTAATTCGTTAACTTGAGTTGTAAGGGACCTGTAATTTAATTAATTCCATTAAGAGGAATTTTAATTTATTACCAACAGGTGGTGCTAGTGTTTAATCCCCATATCAGTTACCGCACATTCTATGTACGCAGGCAGCCCTTCCAATTCCACCTCCAGGTCTAGGTGGAAATAAAAGGCGAATTCACCAGAGGAGACGGACTGATCCTCATTCGCTTCACGATTGTACTAAGCTCCCAAACGTCACTTCTCGTTTCTATTTTTGTTTACAAGGTTCTGCAGAAATCGGTGGTTTTAATATTGGTTGGTGAAAACCGGCTCGTATTAAAACGACCTACAATTTTAAAGGGCAGGGAAAATACGGCGCAAGCCAGTGTTGTACCTGGAGGGTTGAAGTAGTTCAGGCTGGTGTGAACCGGACTGGATTATCTCCGCCGCATTCTTTTGCGATTGTAGTCAGCTTGTATGTAACCTTGGACCAAGTACAAACGATTGTGACCACCCATATGCTGTTTACTGCAAACCTTATCATTTATCAATAGCACCACTTGTTTATGTCATATGTTAAAACACCATACCATTAAACATTTAATTACAGAGAGCACTATAAACGAGACATCAAGTCAAGTCCAGGGTCAACTAACAAGGCGACGGCGCGGCACCACCATACCACAGAATAGACGCGACCACATCTATTGGGTCGCGTTCAAAGAAGACATTTTATTTTATTTATAAAAATCCAAATACTTTTGTTTATAATTATTATAAAGAATAAATCCTGTTAGCTGTGATATCTTCCTTTGGAATTCTGACAAACTGCGAACCCTGGCATTTTCCTCCGTGGGCACGCGGGTACAGCTATCGGTCACTTTTGTTCCGAAGCAATTCGGGGACAAAAGGGGCATTACAGAGTGTCAACTTCTTTGCAATAAATTCCCATTTCAGCTGTGCCCTTCAAGTATTTAATGATCCTTTTTACCATTGTCCAGTGCTGTTCCCTTGGTTCTTCCAGAAACTGTGAAACATAATTTACAGCAAACGTGATATCAGGACGAGTAGATACTGCTAAATACATTAAGCACCCTACTGCTTCTCGATAAGGGGCTTTTGTCAATTCAAATTTCATTTCTTCCCCTGTTAATTGACATCTTTCAATTGGCGTACTAACTGAATTTGCTTCTGTCATTTTAAATTTTTCAATTATGTCATCAACGTACCGTTTTTGATTAATGAAAATTGTTCCATCATTATGTTGATTAAGTTGAATATTGAGAAAACATCCGACTGGCTCCGCTGTCATTTTGAATTCTTCTTCGAGTTTTCCAATGAATTTATTAATAGATTCTTTTGTTGTGGCAACAACCAATCCATCGTCCACATAAATAACGACTATCAGTTTTTTATTTTTGGAAATACGGTAAAATAAACATGGGTCAGCTGTACTCTCCTGTAAACCAAATGAAATTAAAACTTCCTTGAACCGTTCGTTCCAGCATCTTGGGGATTGTTTTAAACCATAAAGACTCCTCTGCAATTTACAAACACGCTGACTTCCATCTTCATAACCTTCAGGTTGATCCATGTAAATTTCTTCATCAATTTTTCCATATAAAAATGCAGTCTTGACGTCAAATTGAGCAAGCTTCAATTTTTCTTTCGCTGCAATACTCAAAACTATCCGAATTGAATCAAGTCGTGCCACAGGACTAAATGTCTCATTATAATCAATACCTTCTCGCTGACTGAATCCTCTGACAACTAAACGTGCCTTGAACCGAGAAACATTCCCGTAAGAATCCCGTTTCACACGATATACCCAGCGATTAGAAATAGTTTTTCGCTTTTCCGGCAGTTCAACAATTTTCCACGTCGAATTTTCTTTCAATGATGCCATTTCTTCGTTCATGGCGGTCACCCAATTCTGCTTTTCTGCCGATTTTATGGCCTCGTTATAACTTTTTGGTTCAACAACTTCCGAAAGCATTGCATATAACAATCTGTTTGGTGTTTTGAGATCGTTCCGATTTCTGAGATGTCGTTTTTCCAAGATTTCTTCCGATGCTTTACCCTCCAATTCCTTTTCTTGAGTTGGTGTGCTCATCTCTTGATCGACAAAATCTTCTTCATGACCTTGCAAATTCCCTTGATCGATGAAATCTTCTCCTTGAAATGTTTCGGGACCTTGACTATCTGCGCTTCTTGTCTTCTCCGGAAATAATGCCAATAATTTTTCAGACTGTTTTGGTTCAAAAACAACGCATTTACTGCGAACGATGCGATTTTCCGATTTATACCAAATACGAAAACCGTCAATATTGTCAGAATATCCGACAAAAATTCCTCGTTTGCCTTTTGGGTCCCATTTATTTCTCTTTTCTTTCGGTACGTGCACGAAACAATCTGTGCCAAAAACATAGAAACGATTTAAATTCACCTTCTTCTCCGTGAAAAGTTCGTAAGGTGATTTGTTTTCAACTCCACTTGGTCCACTGCGATTCAAAATGTAAACAGCAGTATTGACCGCTTCCGCCCACAAATATTTTGGCAATTTTTTAGCCAAAAGCATTGTTCGAGCCAAATCAACCACCGTTCTGTTTGTTCGTTCAGCGCATCCATTTTGTTCATGCGTATAAGGATTTGACACCGCCAAATTCACCCCGTCCAACTTCAATATTTTTCGAACCTCGCTGTCGTCAAATTCTTTTCCGCCATCGCAGTGCAGGGTTTTCATCGATCTACCAAGTTGAGTTTTTATGATTTGTAACACCTTCACAATTTTTCCAGCAGTTTCTGATTTTTCCTTGAGGAAATAAACAAATCGCCTTCTTGAATAATCACAAGTAAAACACGCAAAATATTTTTTATTATACTTCATTGAAATCAGCTTATTTACACCTGTATTAGAAATAATGGTATCTGGCCTTTTCCAGGCTAGCGCACGGAAAAACTTTTCCCGATCCCTTTGATTCTTTCCGTGCGCTGAATATAAATACCCAAAATATTGCTTTAAAATACAAATTTATAGGGAAGTAAACTAATTTTCAGAAAATCTATATGCGTTGTAATGTTTCTTATGTAAGTATTTTGCGTTTTAATTCGTAGATGTTTGAATATTTAGATAAACTTCTTTGAGAATTTGTGACATTTTTTGACGTTTCGTCAACCTTATCTGAAATAAACTAATTAACCAAATCGCCTTTGAAATGATTTGAGAGTAACCCCAACGAAGTGCATTCCATTGGTCCGCACAAATCAACATGTAGTACTGTTCCAGTCATCGTAGCACGCTGATTTCGTGATTCAAAAGTACTCCGGTGTTGTTTTCCTTCCACGCAAGCTCCGCAAAACGTTTGGTCCTCGATGAAGTCGATTTTCTGGTTTTTCAAGATTTTCTTGACATGTTGTTTGTTCTGATGTCCGAATTGTTCATGCCAATTTTGAAGTGTAATTTTCGTCGTTAGATTGACCTCATTTACATAATCTTTCGGAAATGTTATTTGGATCACCATCCTGAATAATTGACCCATTCGAACTCCGTATGCTTTTACAACTCCATCCCGAGTGAATTCACACCTTTCGCTGGAAGATCTGAACTTCATGCCCTTGTCCAACGCACCCGTGACCGAAAAAAGATTTCTGCGTGCCCCTGGCACAAAAAGAACATTTTCCATGTGACATTCTATGTTCTTAATAAGCCTGAAATTTTATACTTCCTTTTCCGAGACCGTCCATTGTTGATTTGTCGCCGACATAAATTTTTAAGGGAACTGCAAACTGCTCATAAGACAAAAACCACTCACGATGACGAGTTATGTGATCTGTAGCTCCGGAATCAACAATCCAAACATTGCCATCTTCCGCGCTGAGAGCCTCACATACGAACGCCTCGTCTTTCGATTTTTCTTCACTGTCTTCTTTGCCCTTTTTGCAATTTTTTCCGGATGTGCCCCACACGTCCGCACCGGTAGCATTTAATTTTATTAAAATTATTGCCACCATTATTGGCATATTTCTTTTTTATGTAGGCCTTACTAGAAAAAAGTGCGACTAACTCCTCCTGTTTTCTGCTACCGACGTTTTTCTTCCGATGTCAACACTTCAACCAAATTCGCAAATGTTTGCTGTTGTTCAGATCTCGCCCACCAAGCTTGTTGAAGGCCCTCGTAGTCATCTGAGAGAGAATCGAGCATCTTTACTACGAGTGAAGACTCGTCCGGTTTCACATTCAGCTGCTGCATGCGCAGAACCAGCTCCTCATATCGAGCAATGTGAGTCACCATATTTTCTGCAGGATTTTTACTAAAATTGAACAGTATGCGCAGCTTGGTTGGGTTGTTGCTCAAAAATAGAATGAAATTTGAGCCAAATTTCCCGTGCCGTTTCACATGAAACCAACAACGCCATAACCTTTGATTCTAGAGATTTAATAATTATCTGACTTGCTGCACGATCTCCCCTGTCCCAAGCCTTGAATTTTGCATCGTATTCTGCCTGATTAAAGTCCTTATCTTCAATAGCTAATTGCTCTGGCTTCAGTATTTCCCCGATGCAAACTTCATACGCGTCCACTTTTCCTCGTAACAAAATTCTTATAGCAAATTTCCAAATACTCCAATTTTCAATACCTCGTAGTTTTTCTATTCCTTGAATTTCCATTTTTCGTGTCGTCTCTTGTCAAAAAAAAATTGATTCCGAATTTATCGATCCGCTGCGCTATCTATTCCACGCTAGCAACCAAGATTTTCTTTGAATGACGTACCAACGAAGATTTAGAAAGAACCACGCTCTGCTACCATGTTGATGGTATTAAATTGAATAAGAACTGCTATTAAACATCAATATGAACAACGTTTTTTATTGTATCGGTTTCTAATAACAAACTCTAAATTATGTATATAGCAACAAACTAATACCTTAGATCAAACATAAATTTAAAGATTTTAGTACAACACATACCATGTGTTTTTATCACCTCCTATCATTCTCCGCATATTCTACATTTTGTTTCTTCTTCTTGTCACCATTCCTCTTACGCTCTCTCTTCGTTTCCGCATCAGAATCTTGCTATAGTTCTAATATTTTTTATCCTTCCGCGTGCGACCTCTATCTTCACCCTCTGTATTGTATTTGTGCACCCAGATCCCTTTTTGCCAGCTCATTTTCCATCTTCCTCCATCTACTCCTCTCCTCCCTTCGACCACAACCCGTCCGCATCCATTCCTTTCGTAATATTTTCCACTTTGTTAGAATTAACAACAAAGAATGTTGTGCGCTCTTTCCTTTATAAAAGAGTATCGGTTTCGCCAGTTTTCAGTTTCCATCAGACTTGTGTAGGATAAGGTATACAGCGCGACCTCGAACAAGTTGTATAGTAGTGACCATACTTATTAAAGTACATTCAATAATGTCTATGAACTTGGCAGGCCTACTACAGCAGACCATGGTTCTGCTTACTCATATCGTTAGTGTTCCGTTAGTGCACGTTAGTGCCGCTGAAGAAATCGTTAGTGCACAAAAGGAAACTTACTATTTTTAAAAAATATTTGTGCTGCTAACTTCATGCCAGCAGACCCATTTAAGAAAATCGATGCATTCTTTACATTAGTTAAACTAGCAACGTTAGTGCTCGTTAGTGCCGCCAATATAAACGTTAGTGCTCAAAGTGTAACAGCTCAAAACGTTGTAAAAATGGGTCTGCTAACTTCATGCAGCAGACCCACATTT